TTGGGAGATCCCTCTGCATCGTCAGACACCTGCTCCACTCACTAGGTATGATACTGGGTGTTCATCTCCAATCTGTCTTCAGAGTTGAACCAAGATACCCAAAGAAGGGCAGCTCATGACAGTAGACTTGAATGGCATTGCACAGCTTTTTCCAAGAAAGATGGGTGAGGGAGTGAGGGGCAGGGCCCTGACCAAGTCTATGGTCTATATGAGGAAAGGCCAAACCAGCCTGGCCTCCCCAGGTTCTGGGACTGGGCATAGGGCCTACAGCTGCAGGGCTGACTTGCCCAAGGCCTTCCTTCATGCTCCAAGGTCTCCTGTCCCAGTGGGCACAAGGCCGTAGCCACAGAAAGCAGGCAGTGCCCGAGGTTTAAGCAGCCAGGGCTCTTTCAACAGGTTGCTCAAATAAAAACCCCACTGAAGGCCAACCAAGGATTCAAAGCTGCCAAAGAAATGCCGGGGAGGGGCCTCTCCAAGTCACAGTCTGCTTCTCAGACTGCCTGGCGCTCACGTCTAGAGCAGGAGGAGCCCTTCCTCTCCTCTGGACCCAGCCTGCCTCCTCTGAGGCACAAGGGACAGAAACGAAGGCCAGACCAGAGTCTGCCTGACTGGATCATTTGGAAATCCAATGATGAAACCCTGGCAAGTCACTTCTTTGCCCCAGGCCTCAGTTTCCCCACCCATTGTATTTTTGGCATTCCTCTCTTCCTTGCTGTAGGTTTAGTCAGCATTTCCCTCTAACTCCCCTTTCCTGGCACTACCAACTACTTACAAGCCAAAAGACCAGTGCCAGCCAGAAGGACAGTCCTGGGATGTTTGGATTCTTCCTGCCCAAAGGCTACCTTCAGCAGGTTGGCTACTTCTTGACTATCAGACTCAGCCTGGACCTCTACAGCTACTCCTATCCCAAGTTTCTCTGATGCTATTTAGATCTCCCTGAATTGGTGAGAGACATGAGGACTGAGGCAATTGCCCCACTGTGTCTTAATGCTAGCCTGTGTCTGGCATCAAATCCACACAGAGACTTTAGCTTCATCTCCTTCTTATGGTCCTGTCTCTAGACTGTCCAGCTCTGGACTTTCCTGTACCACAAACCCATGGAAAGAAGCCTTTTCAAGGGCCTAAAGGTGTCACATGGGCCAGGAAGGGCTTCTGAAACACTGTAATCAAGGTAGAGTGGCTTTAAAGCTGGATGAGCTAAGTTCAAGTTATCTCTTACTCTCTTGCTGACACTGGCCCAGTCACCTCAACTCTCTAAACCCCAGTGTTCTCATCAATCCGAGGACATCTCAGCTCATGAGGGAGTTGTAATAGTTGAAGTGCCCTGCAAATCACTGGCATAGAGTAAGTCTACAATCAAGAGTGGCTTACTCCATGAAAGGTAGAATGTGTTTGTGAATTTAACTAAGCCCACTGTAAAATTTGTGAAATTGTGTACTTAATCACAATAAAGAATTTGCAAAAAAAAAAAAAAAAAAGTGGCTTACATGTATAATAATCCTAACTACTCAGAAGGCTGAGATCTGAAGACTGAGCCAGCCCAGGCAGAGAAGTCCATGAGGCTGCCTCTAAAATAGCCAGCAAAAAAGCAGGGTTTAAGGGGCAGAGACCCATTGAATACACACAAGCCCCTCCCCCATCATCACCAAAACAAAACAAAAATAACAACAAAAAATAATGGCTTAAGACATAAATCCTAGCTACTCAGGAGTCTGACACCTGAAGATCACCATTTGAAGCCAGCCAGACAAGCAAGTCCATGAGATTCTTATCTCCAATTAACAGCAAATATCAATATGGCTCAAGTGGCAGCAAAAAAAACTAAGAGGCAGTGCCCAGGCCCTGAGTTCAAGCCATAGTACTGACACAAAACAAAACAAAGTAATAAATACTTTCTCAAATACCATTTAGTGGGGACCTCTAGCAGAGCGTGTAGCTTCACCTTTCAGGCCTTAGTTCCTCTCCAGATGGCTGGAAGAGGGGAGTGGCTAACAGGGAAACCATCTGTAAAACACTGAGTACAGTATTTGTCACAAAGTACAGGTACTCAGAACATGGTAGCTGTGAAGATGACTTGGTACACAGGTGTCAGAAAGATGAGGCTGACAGGCACTGGTGGCTCACACCTGTAATCTTAGCTACTCAGGAAGCTGAGATCTGAGGATTATGGTTCAAAGCCAGCCCGGGAAGGAAAGTCTGTGAGACTCTTATCTCCAATAAACCACTCAGAAAACCGGAAGTGGTGCTGTGGCTCAAGTGGTAGAATGCTAGCCTTGAGCTGAAGAGCTGAGGGACAGCGCCCAGACCCAGAGTTGGAAGTCCCACATCAACCTCCTCCCCTCCCCCACACACTCACACACACACACACACACACACACACACACACACACACACACACACACACACACGATGAGGCTGAGGAACAGCCACCTGTTCTACCTGTTCAAATCGGGTCAGGTGGAGCTGTCTTCCCAGCTGTTGCCATGGCACTCACACTCAGAGCAACACACTCAAGCTAGAAGGGTGGATACTGCAGGGTGGGACCTCCATCTATCATTCTGACACCACCCATACTGCCAATACTAGGCCTGAGCCACCTCAGAGGGCAACCCTACCTGGATCTGGGCCTAGGATCTAGTCTGGCCCAGTTACTCTAGTCCTCTGAGACCATGTCAATACAGAAGGATGGCTGAGGTCAGGTCTCTGAAATACTGATCAGGCAGGGGTGTGGGTGGAGGGAGTAGGAATCCGGGAATCCTCACCACCTGACCAAAAGCCCACAAAAGACAAAGCAGCTCTACAGTGGCCTCAGATTTCAATGTCACGGGCTCTTCAAGCCACACTTGCCCAGCAGCACACAAATACCCAAGTGCCCAGGCTGGGGCGTCACAGCAGTCAGCTCCTGCCTCCTCAGCCCACTGAGGCTTCCTCCAGGATAAAGATTTGGAAAGACTGCTTGGTTCACAGAACCTGAGGCTCCTTGCCAGGAGGGAAGAAGGGAAAACAGGTGAAACCCAGACCATGTGGCCTGAGACCTGGAACTTTCCAGACTTTCCCAGATGAGAGAGGGCAGGTTAGGGCAATGGAAATACTGATAGTTACGGGTGACTGTGCTGACAGGGCCTGGGAAGCCAGGCGAGGCCATCAGGCTGAGCTTGACAGGATTCAAGGCACCATTTCCATCCATTCCCAGCTCACATGTAGGCCCCCTGTTGACCCCATGGCGGTATTCTCTTACAACATGCCCCTCTGCTCACACTACTGCTGCGGCAACTGCCTGAGCTAACATGGTACATTATCCATCTCCCTCACAACCCAGAGGTGGGTGTCACTTCCCCATTTTGTAAAAGAGAAAACAGGTTCAGATATACAACAGGGTGTGGTTAAAAGCTCATACCCAGTTTGAAGCTGGGCCCCACTGCAAAGTAAATCACTCTCTCTTGAGTCTCAGTTTTTACCTTTGTAAAATGGGGGTAACAATCTCATGAGACTCCCAGCTCCCCCACCCTGCATCTACCCCTGCTCCATGTCAACAGACAAGGCATTAAATGAGAGATACTGGTAAGACACAGAGTACAGCACCAGTAACTGCTGGCTCTTTTCATCAGAGTGGTTAGATAAATCATCCAAAGTCACTCAGCCACGGAGTGGCCAACTCCAGACCCCAGCTTTAGCACAGCCCCTCTGAACGATGGGCCACTCTGTGGGGTGGCTATAGGACCACAGGCTTCTGGGGTTACAGAGGATTACCACCCTCACCCTCCCACCACAAGGGGCAGCCCTGTCAAATTCCTCAGATAAATAGTTCCCAGTAGAACAGGGAGCAGCGGGTAGAGAAGGACCCCACCCTGTCCACACAGGAGATTCCAAAATCTGTTAGGCCAAAGCAACTTCCCTCCTTCTGGCACGGCATTTGGCCTTTGGGTTCATCCAACAGGTCTCCAAACTGGCCAAGCTCTGCTAACAATTGCCTTCTGCTAGATCTTTTGCAAACTAGTTACTTCCTCTTTCTGGGCCTCAGTTTCCACATCTGTAACACACACCTGTTATCTCACCATAGTTTAAGGCAGTGCCTACTAACTGGGCTCACAAGGAGGTCTGAAGAGCACAAAGCAGACCAATTAAGGGTAGCACAGTGCCCCAAACCCTGGGCCAGAACCTGTACCACCATCTAGCTACTGAAAACCCTCCCACGACTCTGATGGAGAAACCTGTGTGAGGCCGTTTCCAAAAAGGAAATATGAGCCAGGAAGAGCCAGGGTAGGATCCCCTATCTGTTCAAATCCAAGGACCTGTCTGGACTGGCCAAGACTGTGTGGCCTCAGGTGGGCCCAGTCTGCAAGGGGGCAGCCTAGACACTCCGTTGCATTCAGCAACAAGCTGGGCAGCTGGACTTGCCAGGACGGGGATCAACACAAAACCAAACTCAGGGCTTTTAGGGAGGGCAGCAGCTTCCAGACAAGGGTATTTGCAATTCAAAGCAGTCCAGCTCCAGCCAGAGAAGGACCAACACTCAGAGCAGATTGGGCAAGCCAAAATCCAGCCACCACCTCCAGTGCTGGCCTAGGAAGACCTGGGACTGGGCCTTCCTAGTCACTCAACAGTGCCAGAGAACCTGTAGCTGGCTCAGGCTTTAAATCACACGACAGCTTCGGTGGCCAAGCTGGAGTGCAAGGTAGCCTGGACCACCCCTTTTCTACTCACTCTCTTAAGGAGCCAGTCCCACTGGGCTCTATATGCAAGTCTGCAGAATAGCCCTATTGTGTGCAGCATTCAAGGCCCCAAAAGAGCTGGGGAAAAAAGACCCCGGGTATATCTGGCTGGTCAGGTGCATACAGGTGACAGATTGCATAGATCCAGTCCTGCCCTGGGCAAAACTACCCAAACATATATAATCTCTAGGACTCACCCGATCCCACAGGGGGCTTCCGTCTCTGTCAAGTGGCTAGGTCTGGCTCGTCAGCCCCCTCTCCTGCAAGTACCAATGACCCAGTTCTTACCTTGAAGACAAGCTGACAAAATCCCCGCCATCCAGCAGCCGGACCTTGCAGAAGAGGACCCCGTTCACAAAGGGGACCGCAGTCAGCTCCTCCAGGGTGAAAGTGGTTTGAAATTTGAATTTCTTCTTCTTCATCAAGAAAGCCATGAGCGAGTTCCCTGAGTCTGAAGCCCCGAAGGCCAAAATATAAGGAGGAGCCAGAAACCCCCAGGATCCTTTTCTCTACACCACACCCCCTCCTCAAAAACACCGGAGCCGGATCCCACCCAGATGGTGGCCGAGGCGCCGAAGCGGGACGAGATCTGAGTTCGGAGCCCCAGGTCTGAACGATCAATCCAGTTGGCTGGCTGGCTGGCTTCACCCTCGGGGCGCCAGGGCTCGGAGGGGCTCTGAGCGGCCCGGGGCTTCACCGGCATGTAAACAGCGGAGCATGGACCAGGAGGCAAGGACAGAGGTGGCGGGCGGCGCGCGAGCGGCGGCGCAGCCCTGCAGCATCCCGAGCCGCGGACCCCAGGGAGATCACGCCGTGCGGCCGGGCAGACCCCGGAGACTGAAGGCGAGCGGCGGGCCGGGGAGGCCCGGAGCTGCGGGCGGCCCCGCCTCCGCCCCGCTGGCGGCCGGGGGAGGCGCCTCCCCCGCGCACACGCCCCCGCACCTGGAGCCGGCCGGCCTGCGCAGGTGAGGCCGCGGGAGGCAGGAGGGCACCCAGGGGCGATAGGAAAGCACCCCGCGCGTCCCCGGAAAGCGCGGCGGGAACGCTGAGGGCTGGGAATGTCCGACCGCAGGGCTCCTCCGGGCAGGCACCCGATCGGCCCCAGTCAGCAGGGGCGCCGCCTCCTCCCCGGTCCCGGGACCCGCGCCGCGGGGCCTGGCGGAGCTGAGGCGCCCTCCGGCCCAGCCGGTGGCTGCCGCCTCGCCCGCAGCCTCAGCCCAGCACCAGGCGAGCAGCAGTAGCGCCGCCGCCGGCACCTCGGACCAGGCCGCCTGAACCCTCAGCTGAGCGACACCGCTCGGAGAATGCCAAGGCCCTACACCGCCGCCCGCGGAGCCGCGGACGAGCGCGGCAGGGGCGGGGCGCCGGCGGCTCAATCCACCCACGATTGGGCGAGCCGGCGAGGCGTGCGCGGAGCGTCATTGGTGGATGGTGGCGTAGGGCGGGACTCACGGGAGGCCGAAGCGGCTACTGCATTCTGATTGGTGCATGGTACATCCTAACCCGCCTCCTCAGGAAGGCGGGGCGAAGGAGCCCGAGTGGGGCGGGGGGAGTGTGTGCAGCCTGGCTGTGGGAGGTCTCGGGGTGGGGAGCTGGAGCTGGCGGGGACTGGAGGGGAGCTCCAGCCGAAGAAAAGAAGAAACAATGCTGAGGAGAAACAATCTGAAAACTCTGGCTGCAACAGCCTTCCAGGGTCCTGCCAGACTTGAGGTCATTAAACACTCAAGCAGGCCCGGAAAGCAGTGAGCCCGATTTCTTAGAAAACTGACCCCCCAGAACTATAGCCCAAGACCCGAGCAGATCTGAGGAGGTGTCAGAAGTCGTCACTTCTTGTCTCGATTCCAGGCTTTTATCTAGGCCTCGTGTTGGCTTTTGGGGTCTGTTTGTCTACGGCTGATCTCATTGGTTAGATTAACCGCTCTAGGGGCAGAGAACACGGAGGAACCCTCTGCATTTTCTAGTTCATTCACTCAGTCCTCAAATGTTTAGGGGGTCTGCTCTGAGCCAGGCAAGACCCAGTGGTGTACTTGCTCTCCCACATTGTTTCAAGCTGAAGAGCAGGTCTAGCGGGGTTCAAGTGGCTCACACCTGTAATCCTAGCTACTCTGGAGACAGAGGTATGGGACTCATATCTCCAGTTAACCAGCAAAAAGCTGGAGGTGGGGTGTGGCTCAAATAGTAGAATGCTAGCCTTGAGCAGAAAAAGCCTAGAAGAGTGCAATGGAGTTCAAGGTCCTAAGTTCAAGCCCAGATGCAAAAAAAATATATTTTAAACCACTTGGAGCAGCAAATAGGCACATGGGCAGCTGTAATAGGAACTGAGGGGAGGCACATGGCATGTGGTAGGAAAAGGACTTAGAAGAGTCTGGCACAAAGCAGCTCAGCCTGCTTGGCAAAATACAGGCAGAGAGAGCCGCCAGCTGGTAGCTAAATCGTTTTGAGCACCTCCATTTGGCTGCGTGGTGAAGTGGGGGGGGGGGGGGGCACTGTAGCAGCCTGATCTGGCAGTCTTGTACATCAGAGTAAGGAGGAAGCCATCACCTGGTTTTGAGTCACAGTGACCGAGAGAGACTTTCTTTTTGTTGGGGGGAGGGGGAGAAGCTGGTTCTGATTTCAAGTACTGTGGAGATGAGATGAGAAATGGATGAGTGAGAAGCCTTTGTGGTGGTACAGGCAGAAGGTGATACAGGATCAAAGCATGGTGGGGCTAGTAGGGGACTACAAAAAGAGGACATTGGAGATGCAGAAGGGCTGGGCTTTTGGACCTAAGGACTTATGCTTGGAGATGAGTTGTGAACAAGGACCCCTATTTCTGTTCACTTGCTTTTCGTTCTTTCTTGTTTTGTTCTGGTACTAGGGTTTGAATTTAAGGGCCTTAGCTTTTTTGCTCAAGGTTGATGCTCTACTCCTTGAGCCATAGCTCTACTTCCAGCTTTCTACTAGTTAATTGGAAATAAGAGTCTCATGGTCTTTCTTGCCCAGGCTGTCTTTGAACCTCTAACCTTAGATCTCAGCCTCCTGAGTAGCTACGGTTACAATCGTGAGCAACTATCATCCAGCCCATTTCTGCTTTAATATTATTTATCAGTGATGGGGGGAGGAACAAGGGAGTGGAAGTCCATGGTTCTCTCTTATAATTTAGAAAACATAGCCTCTTTAGAGAAGAGAGATAATAGTAAGTTTTTGTCCTAGTAGGTATTTTATAAATATACACACATATCACATATATACACATATCTCATCAAATAGTTCAGACTGGACTTGAACTTGCAATCCTTCCTGCCTCAGCCTTCTAAATGCAGGGATGCACCATCACACTTGGCCTACATATTGTCCTTTTTTAAAAATTTTTATTTTTTTTGTAAAGATGCTGTACAGAGGGGTTACATTTACATGTGTAAGGTAATGAGTATATTTCTTGTCAAACATTATTACCCCTTCCACCTATTGCCTTTATCATGCAGGGAAGTTGAGACCTAGAGGATTTCAATCCCTTAACTCTGGTGCCCAAGCTCAGAGTGTTAGGCTATACATGGTCCACCCAGCAGAGAGAGTTTGTTTTCACTAATCCTGACTGGGTCTGCTTATAAGGGAAGAAAGAACTGGTGGCTACCTGAGTCCAGGAGGGGATTTTAGAGAAGGAAGCCAGCCCAGGATCTCCCTAAGCATGGCTGGTTTCTCAACTGTGACCATGAGTAACCCTAACCACTCTAACAGGAAGTAGGGTAGATCTTACTGCCAGGCTTGGTTCCACATATTATCTCTCTCCAGCTTGAAGGCTGGGTACCCAGGAAGTTTCCTTTCCCTCATTTCCCAGGATGTTTCCCTTCCCTCATTTCCCAGAACAGCACAGCAAATTTGGGGTGAGGCTAGCCTGGATTAGACTCTTGGTTCTGTCATATTGGCAATATGAGTTCAGTTTGGCATACTAAGACTTGGGGGCCTACTAGTGGGATTGGGGTTCAGAATGGTATGGCTAGGACTCTTTGTCTTAGACCCAACTTGAGTTCCAAATCTGGGGGACATGCCACTGACCACTTGTGACACATACACATTGGGTATAGTTTTACATGCATAAAAAGAAATCTTGGGGTCTGGGAAGATGGCTCAGTGGTAGAGTGCTTGCCTTGTATGCATGAGGCCCTGGGTTCGATTCCTCAGCACCACATAAGCAGAAAAGGCCGGAAGTGGCGCTGTGGCTCAAGTGGTAAAGCACTAGCCTTGAGTTAAGAGCTGAGGGACAGTGGCCAGACACAGAGTTCAGGTCCCATGACCACAAGAAAGAAAGAAAGAGGGAGGGAAGAAGGAAGGAAAGAAAGAAGAGGAGGAGGAGGAGGAAGGAAGGAAGGAAGAAAGAAAAGAAAAGAAAGAAATCTTGGCACTACCCTAAACATTTCCATCTCTTAAGCATCTCTTTACCAAAAAGTACAAATTCAGATGCCAACTTTTGCCAGGCACTAGTGGCTCACATCTGTAATCCTAGCTACTCAGGAGGTTAAGAAGTAGTGTTGTGGCTCAAGTGGCAAAGGGCTTGCCTTGGGCTGAAGAGCTGAGAGACAGCTCCCAGGCCCAGAGTTCAAGACCCACGACCGACAAAAACAAACAAACAAAAAAGGTCTCAGGAGGTTAAGATAGGGGCTGGGAAGGTGGCTCAGTGGTAGAGCGCTTGCCTTGCATGCATGAGGCCCTGGGTTTGATTCCTTAGCACCACATAAGAAAAAAGAAAAAAGCCAGAAGTGGCACTGTGGCTCAAGTGGTAGAGCACTAGCCTTGAGCTGAAGAGTTGAGGGACAGCGCCCAGGCCAAGAGTTCAGGCCCCACGACTGGACCCAAAAAAAAAAAAGGAGGTTAAGATATGAAGATCACAGTTAGAAGTCAGCCTGGGCAGAAAAGTCCATGAGACTCTTAGCTCCAATTCATCACCTAAAAACTGCAAGTGAAGCTGTGGCTCAAAGTGGCAGAGTGCTAGCCTTGAGCAAAAAAAAAAAAAAAAGCTTAAGGATAGTACCCAGGAGGCCCTGAGTTCAAGCCCAGGACCCCACAAAAAAAAAAAAAGCCAACCTTTTTTTCTAGAATGTTGTGAGGGTTTCCTCAGGCTATGCCTGTGAAAGGTTTAGGTCTGGAGGGACAAGGGACAAGAGGGAAGCTCTGAACTACTTCTATATTTTTCCAAACCCCAAATTCCAAGGCATGGCCTATTTTACCTCCCTGACCCCTGACTAGAAAAGGAATCTGATACCAAGCTTTTCAGATAAGTTATCTAGAAAAGGAAACCCAGGGAAATGACTGAGTTTCAGGTAGAATGGTCAAGGAACGTGTCTTGGCAGTGTCATCTTAGCCAAGACCACAATAATTAGGGAAACCCAAGAAATCCAGGAAGCTCTGGGGTAGAGGCATTGTGTGAGGAATTGGTATGGTCTGGGGAGACTCCAAGTGACGAGAATGGAGTCAGTAGAGGAGCAGAGAAAGGGTTGGGGTATGCAGGACTCTACTTACCTTACCCCTTGTGAGACTAATGAGAATACGGCAAGCAGCCTAGGGAGCTGTTTCAGCTTATCTGGTGACTGACAGACGATGGCCCAGACTGAGATGGGAAGAAAAAGAGGACACATTTCAGAGGAAATACTGAGCGCTTGCTGAGCAATGAAGCAATGGTAATACTCAAGTGATGTTACTCAAAATCATGGTCAAGTTAAAGAATACAAGAAGTAGTAGTTAGAGTCTGCTGAATATCCTGTTTGAATTTGATTAAAATGCTACAAGATTCTGTGTGTGTGTGTGTGAGTGTCTGTGTGTGTGTGTGTGTGTGTTATATGTGTACATGTGCATGTGTAACACATGCAATACTAGAGTTTGACCTTAAGGCCTTATGCTCTTACT